AAATATCGAGCAGATAAGAGTGTAACGCAGTTGTTGGAGCGTGATCAAATAATACTGTTAATCAGTACAGTAATTGATTATATATATTTTCATAAAAACGAATGTTTCGATTCTTTTTAGAGTCATCAACGTTAATACAATTCTTTAAAATTATATCACATGTATCAATAGCAGCCACTAAAAAATTAAGAGATCCTAAGTGCATGAATTTCGTTGCAATTCATTTCTGGAACAAATGTGAAAAGGTAATGTGTTATTGGCAAAATTAAATAAAAACTTGTAAAAATATGTAGTTTACGATTTGATGCAGAGAGATGTAATTACAGAAACAAATAATTATAAGAATAAAGTCCAAGAATTTGTGCAATAACCATTAAAAAAGATATGTATAAAAATAGTCAGAATACAAGAGAATACAAGTTAGTCAAGGCACAGCAGAGTTAAGATTGACGAAACTGTTTGAAAATGTGTCGCAGATACATACATATATTGTCATTGTTTACATAACGTCAATAAAGTCAAGCGTTAAAATAATAAATTATTTATAATTTGTTTAAAATCAAAATACAAGCGTGATGTAAAAATTTTGTATCAGACTGTAAGTTAATACTATTATTTTATATTTGTATATATATATATATAACGTCTCAGATACCAATCTTCTTCTTAAATAACGTTCACGGTCTAAAATTTTGACGTTCTCCCAATTAAAATCATGATTTAGTGAAAGTCTGTGATCCGTAATGACCAATCTAGTGCCATTGGAACTATTAATTTGTCGACGATGTTCTTGAATTCTCGTTTTTAATTTTCTGTCGGTTTGCCCTACATATGTCGCGTTGCAATCTATTTTATACATTACATTCTTATTTGACCCTTTCGGGAGAACATTTTTGTGAACTTTTACAAATCTTCCAAGTTTATTTAAATTGAAAAATGCTAGCTTCAAAATTACTAATAATACTCCTGAATTTATTCGAGATTGAATGCATATACGGTAATACCAACCAAGAAATACGTTCTCGTTCTGGTGGCGAGTTAGTCGTATTGTTTTGTGCCTTGGATTGTTTGTGGCATAATGCTTTTAATCTTAGATTTATCGTCTCAAAAATAAAATCAGAAAGGTAATCATTCTCCAGTAAAGTGTTTATTATAAATTTAAGGTACTTGTCATGGTATCTGGGGTGTGACAATAAAAACTAAATTACTATATATACTATATTACATACTATATATATATATATATTGTATATATATATATATATATATACATGCATATACGAGTATACCACAGTTATAGTCATTCGAACTGCGCGCCGAATTGCTTTTCAGACTTATAAACACATTTCATATGAATATTATTAAGTATCATGATTCAGCTAAAAATAGAATTCTTCTTCTTATTTGTTATCAATCTAATTTTTACTTGCAATTATAAATAAAAAGTGAATTATAAATTATAGTTATGTAATTATATGGTAATTGCAACCATTTTTCTCTCAGTACAAAATTCAAAACATCCGCGAAAGCCTCAAGGGAATGCAACGGATCGGCGAAGATGACGATTTCATGAATGACATGACTAGTCAATCAATAGTAAGATTTTAATGATACCTGACCTTTAATGACAAACATCGACGTTCAGCTGTAGACTGAGATTACGCATCTGAGCGCGATATTCTAATGGACGGCAGGCAAGCAGCCGGCTTTCTCGTGCATTTAATCGAATGGGTTAAAACTGCGGTTATTTGCAGTGCACTTCGATCGAATTGGCTGCCGTTTGCATAATCTCCTTCCGTTGCTCGTCGCGTCGCATTCGTCCACATCTGCACGCCTTTCTTTCGCCGGATATCTCTCTCTCTCTCTCTCTCTCTCTCTCTCTCTCTCTGTCTTTCTTCTTCCTGTCTCTTCCGCCTTTCCCGGAGCACCTTCCTTTTTTCCATCCGGTCGTACCTTCCATCCGCGAAAACGATCGCGTTTCTTTGTTCAAGGCAGGCGGGAAATTTAGGTTCCTCTACGATCGCGCTTGATTTATATCGATCGATCGATCGAGTTCCACGACGGCAGATCGTTCACCTCGCGCCATGCCTCGAGGGAAGCTCGATCCCGGTAGTCGTGGTCAGCGCGTGGCGTGGCGGACGATCGCCGCGAACGAATCGTCTCAATTGCGACTTCTTGCCAAGATCGGATTTCCGCAGATCGACTGCATTTACGCGAGCCCGAGGTCGACGACGACCTCAGTGACACAGGGGATACGTGCCGGTACGGTGTTCTTACGTTAGGAGAAAACAAATGACGTACCATGATCGCTTTGAATTTTGCACGTAACCGATTTGAATACATTTTCACGTGAGCGTAAAAATTGCCGGTCTTGCCTCTGACGTACTAAAATTGCGAGATTGTTTCCGCAGCGTGGAATAAAAATATTTGTTTCGAGAAATTTATACGCGTCCTCTCCGGTCGGACATATTTTTCTTGGGGAGAGCAAGAGAGCTCGTTCCGAGTGAAATAATTCTGAAACTTAAGTATCGTTTCTTCAGTATATAAGATCCCCCCCCGATGCAAAGAGAATGCCGAGGGCCGCAATTTATGATTAAACATCGCATACAAAATTATCATACTGTAATCACGTAGCTTTTGCGCGAAACGTGACGTGCGTGGATTTAACGAAAATTCATGGCTCAACGTATCATAAAATCATTTCGCAGTACGTTATGAATAGCATGGCGCTTGGCACACAGCAATAACCGTTAATGTCCGTGTAATAATTGTTCGCGGTGTATTATTAATACAACTTAATTACCGGTAAGCAATCTGCGGTATAAATATTTGTAGAGATGTCAAGTAACGTTTACTATTACCGTTACTTTTTTACAATAGCGATTTGTAATAATGACGTTATTAATTTTCATGACAGTAATAATAACGCCAGGGTTGAAACAATTTGGAAGTAACTCGTGAACACCCCGAAACAATGCACGGAAAGAAAGTTGTTAAAGTATTAAAAAATTTTGCTAGATATACAGATCTGAAATTCAATTTAATAATAATAATAATAATAAATTATTATTGAATTAAATTTAATATATTGAAAACAATTTCTGGTTGAAAATAGACGAATCAGAATTTTCTGATTAAGTCTATTAGAATTTTAATTGAGATAACTAGAATTTTGACTGATATAATTATTCTGATAAAAATAAGAATTCTAATAGATTTTATTAAAAATATTATATCAGAATTCTAGTTATCTCAACTAGAATTCTAATAAATTTAACCGGAAAATTCTGATTCGTTCATTTTCAACTAGAAGCTTTTTCCAGTGAATATCAAAATTTTTTGCAGCGTTGCTCACGCTCAAGCATCTTGAATAATTAATTTTAGATCTGTATTTTAGCTAGATTTTTAGATACTTGAGCAAAATCGTTCTTTCTTATACTCTCATTAGTTGCAACAATATTGTGTAGGAAATGAACAACAACTTGACAAGAGTTTTATGTGACTGAATAAAATATGTGCAATTTGCGTAGACATATGCTAAATTATTGTATCTAGTATCAATAAATTATTATTAGTTAAAATACTGCATAATTTATATATTAGCCTGTTTTTGTCCAGTAAATGTTATGAGTTTCGATTTTGTAAACATCTTTTGTAAACGCAGGTAAAGCGTTATAGATCTTGATTAAAATTCTAATAAAAAGTTTCATTTTTCAGTTACTAGACAAAGTTAATATGACTGCCTAGTAACTGCTCGATAAATGCACTACAAATTTCTATTAGGGCATTACATATTTCGCATTTAAAAAAGTAACGAGTTACTTTTCAAAGTGATCATTCCAACCATGACGTTATTGTTACCCGTTGTCATGGAAAATTGTAACTTTACCAAATTGTTATTATAAAAAAGTAATGATAAAAGTAACGTTTTAAATAACGTATTACTTGCTATCTCTATATTTCCCATCCGTCGCGAGTGGAATGTGTAATAGTCCTGAATCCGCGGCGTTATGAGCCAGAGAGCTCTTTGCGCGTGAATTACATCGGTTACGCTAAGTTTGTCGCGTTATGCGGGACGACACAAAGTTTCTTGTTAAATTGCTCGTCTTCCGCTTATGCGCGATCCGGATATATATAATATATATATATATATACATACATATATATATATATAAATAATATATAATATATATTTTGTGTGTGTGTGTTTGTGTGTGTGTACATGCATTAGTATGTACATGTACATGTATATCATTGTATATCGTTCAAAGTGAAAATTTCCCAACGGGCGTTCACTTTAAACGTCGCTGAATATTTATGATCCCAATCTCTTTTCAGCCTACGGTAAAACGAGGTTTACCGCCATAATAGCGATGGGGCGCGCGGCGTATCCGCGATGACTTTAATAACTAGTTACCGGATTAATTGCGTCACTTTGTCACCGTTAATTTACCTATTAAGCACTTATCGGTGGAATGACGTATCACGGGCGTGCGCGGCACAATTATTCATTATGCTAATTGCGCGCGGCTCTGCTGTAGATAAATCTTACTCACTCTTTCCAATCATGTAAATGCCATTATGACGTTTATATCGGCGCAAAATTAAATGCTTAAGTATTCGAAAATCGTAATTTAAATATTCGAAAACTCATAAATTTAAAAGTGAAATTCTCTGGATGTTGCAAAAGTCGGAGAGATTTGTATATTTCAAAAAAATCTCAGAAAATCTCAGAAGGATTGAAAAGTACTCTACGATCAAAAGGCCGACGATGTAAATTGCAGCCGGTCTTGAAATAGCAAGAAAAAATAAATTATGCAACGGGTGGCGGG